TCTCACCTCGGGAGAGGACACCCACGGGCCCCAAATAAAAAAAAAATCAGGCTCCCACCACTACAAGGGAGACCCAAAACCCAGGAGAGCGCTCACTGCCACCAACAGCGGCCCCCCCCGAATGCCGGGATTGCCGACACCCCGCAAGGAAGCGGCACGGCCGCCCCAGCCAGCCGGCCACGGAAAGGCCAGATCTCCCTGAGAAAGCACCAAGTCCCAGGATTGGAAGTGCCCGAGAGGGACAGAAGGGACAGTCGGGCACAGCCTGGCTCGTGTTGGAGCAGCAGGAGAGAGAGAGAGCCCGGGCACGGAGCTGCTGAAGCAGCAGAAGCCAAGCGACACGAGAAACACCACCCTGACAGTGCTGGGCAGTTTTCAGTTTCCTTTCCTGAATGCGAGGCCGAAAGCTCAAAAGCTCAAGCTTCTCCACTTCAGGATAATCGAGACTTCAGGTTCCCATTTGCTCCACAGCAGTTACCGCCCGGCCTCTCCTCTCCCAGCCCCTGCAGGCCCGGCAGTCTGAAATTCCTTCTCCAAATGGCATTTTGAACGTTTCGAGCTGTTGTAAAAGCGCAGGAGCCGGTTTTTGATATTTTACTCTTGAGACAAGTGGGAAAGACCTTCCAGCAAGACAGCTCTGAAGGCTCAGAGAGCCTCACCGCCACATTTTAACCGTTCTCAGGACAGGAGGGCTCTGAATCAGCACAGGAAAAGCCACGCCAGCAAAAAACCGCTCTGCCCCAAAGAGAAGCCTGATCCATCAGCCTGATCCAGGCTCGTCTCCTGCAGGTGTGAAAGGGCTGAGTTAAAGAGAACGTTACTTACACGGCATCTTGAGAAGAAATCCTTGTAACCTCCCTTCAGGACGTACAGCTCAGGGTAGTGGAGGTTGGGGTATTCGTTACCCAGCCTGTCCCGCTCTCGCACAAACCGGCACCTGGAGAGAGATTAAAAAAAAAAAAACCCAACAAGAAAAAAACACGTTAAACTTGCATTCAGCAAACAGCCCACGAACCCAGCTCTGAGCTGAAGAGCTGCACTCAGAGCAGCGTGGCCAGCAGGGCGAGGGGGGATTGTGCCCCTCTGCTCCGCTCTGGCGAGACCCCTCCGCAGTTCTGTGCCCAGCTCCCGGGCCCCCACACAAGGAGGACGTGGAGCTGTTGGAGCGGGTCCCAGAGGAGGCCACAGTCACCCCAAAAGTTTTTCTCTCAAGCAGGGGGATAACTCACATTCGAGGACCCCGCTCGGAAGAGAACTCGCAGTGGAACACGATGATCACGCGTTTGTTGTCCGACGGCTGGATCGGCTTCTTCAGCAAGTATTCCTCCACGTCCTCCTCCATGTGGAGGTTGATCGCACCCTGCCAGGGCAGAGCCAGGCCCGTGAGCGGAGGAGAGCAGCCGCAAACCCCTCACCTGCCTTCTCCACGAGCCCTTTCCTCCTCTGCGCTTCCTAGAGGAGCTCTGGCATCGGGAACTCGGCTTCGGACTGGATTTCCCTTCCCAGCCCACCCACACCCACGAGGGCCGGCCAGCTTGCTCGAGCAGCAACCTTGGAGACGAATTCTGTTTTGCGCAGCCACCTGCCCTTCAACGCCTGCGGTTTAGCTCAAGTTTAATATCCTAATCCCAGCTTCCCCTAGAGACGAGGATTCCTCACACCCTCCTCGGAACCGTCTCCCCACTTGCCACGTCCCCTGCTCCGGGAAGGGAGGAAAAGTCACTTTATGAGCCCCAGCGTCCTGAAGATTCCTGCCGCGCGTGGGCATTAACGGGATCGCAGACACCCCCGGGCGTCTCAGCTACACAATTTCTACGCAGCCTCGGACACTGGCGAGCGACGAGCAGCCCCCCGCGGTGCCAAGCAACCCGCCTGCCAATTCCAACCGTTCCCCAGCGCCCTCACCTTGATGTGGCCTCCTTCGTACTCGTACGGGTACCGACAGTCAATGATCACGCACTCCTTGATGGAGCTCGCAAACTTCCCCGTCAGCACAGACACAATCTGGGGGGGGAAATAAAAAAAGAAAAAAAAAACAACGAGAGCTCAGTTGTTTCAAGATGGTTTTATGTTGTTGCTCCCCTCCCTGTGCAGAACTTTCCTTGCTGCCTGTGGAGCACGTACCATTTCCGAGTCGATGTATTTCAAATCTTGATGTTTCCCATCCACGGTGTGGAATAAATAACCCTGCAAGACAGACAGCGTTTCGCTGAGAACGTTCCAGATGCGGCAGCCCGGCATCCAGCGGTTTGTTTCGTAACACAGACACGCTGTCGACAAGAATCTCTTCAGCAAAGCTCAGGAGTCAAACCCGGGAATCCTAAAATTCAGGGACAGGATTCTGTGTTTGGCTCCTGTGCTGAAGGAATCTGGCAGATCGCTCTGAAGCCCCAGGCGACTCGCCTGGTGTCTAACCCACAGGAGCTCCCCTCTCCCCAGCCGCCTCTCCTTTTGATCTGTTGACAAAGGGAAACGAGTCCCCCAGGCTGGTTCCAGACACCTCTGCCGAGAGAGAAGCCTTTAAAACATGGGAATGAACGCTTGACTGTGAAAAAACCCCTCGAATTACCTTGGAGAAGTCACCGATAAGGTCTCGCTGGTCACTGTCCAAAATGTTGCCGATCTCCGCGGTGGAGGATTGCGACTTGACCATTTTCAAACTCTAGAGGAACACAGGTCGGGAGATCAGAGACCCTTCCGAAAACACTCCCGTTAACCTACGGAAACCAGACTCCTCTACCAGACCCGTCCCCATCGGGTTGCCGTCCCACAGCGGGACGCCAAGCCACCCACCGTTGGCTCCTCGGAAGGCGTTCCGGGCAGGCTTCTCCTCTTTTTGCTTTTCCCTGGAGAATGTTCCTCCTGGGATCTCTCCATCCTTTTCTGGGGGGTTTTTCCTATCCCGCCGGGCAGAGAGGAAGAGCCAAACAACCGGCACCGTTTGCCCTGCGAGGAAGGAGAGAAGTTACGAGTTGTCCAGCCAAGACTTGAATCAGACACTCAGCGAGCCCCCGGCTGTCAGGCTGTTGCAGTTTGCCGTGTTTAAGATACATGACAAGAGCGGGACAGCTCCATCCAGGCCTTCTTTCCCGTGACAGTTGTTATTTCCAGTGACAATCGCTTCTTGCTGTGGGGACTGGGCAAGCCTGGAGCTCAGACGTTCTAGCCGAGTGCTTTATACCAATTAGCACCAATTTATCAGCAGATTAAGGAGCCTAAACTCCCTCCACACTTTATTATCAGGTCGGGCTATAGAGAAGTGTGTGTAGAGTGAACTTGAGATACATCAAGATAAGGGAAATCGAGACCTTCTGCATTTATGAAAGGGTTTTCTAAAGGGAAAGTGAATGCCCAGGTATGTGCACAGTGAGGGGTCTCCAAGACTTCCAGGTGAACAGGCTGGAGAGACACGGGAATGCTGACTGGGGGGGCACAGAAACACAGATTTGTTGTTATCTGGGATCAGAGACGGGGTGGTCGCCTGTCCCTGCTGTGAGAACGGCACCAGAACACAGCGGCTGTCCTGTCCTGTCCTGTCCCGCTCACACAGGACTCACCCGGCTGTCACCCCTCCTCATCACCAGCGGCGCCGTCCAGAGGCTCGACACATCTGACCGCAGCTCCTCATCGTTCTGAGAAAAAAAAAGAGGAGAAAGGTAGAAAGAGAAGAAAAAGAAAGAGAAAAAAAAAGAAAGAAAAGGGAAAAAAAAGGAAAGAAAGAAAAGGGGAAAGGAAGA